TATGAGTTGTTACTTGCTGTGAGAACTTGAATCTAACCCAGGGCTAGAGTCCTGCAAGAACGCGTGGGAATGGCGTTCCGGCACTTTTTCCACAGCAGGAACGCCATTCCCATTACTAGTCCTGCAGGACCCAGGGCTGGCACAAGCGGCCGCTAGAGCAGGAGGGAGCACAAATCTGAATCCCCTGCCTGTGGCTGGGGACTCGGATTTCTAAACTCACCTCTCTCCCTGCAGCCAGCAGCCAGTGGAGTCGGCATAGTGTGCTGGGGTAGGGGTATTAACACTGTGTGTGCTGGGGTAGGGGTATTATGGACTAGGGGTAGGGGTATTAAGGACTATAAGTGCCCCAAGTCCTTCACTTACCTTTTGTGAGATGGACTTTCCAAGGGTTCTTCAATAGCTTCAGTAGAGCGGCGACCGGTCCAAGATGGCACCCGCATTTCTCGACGCTCAGCACGCAATGCCATAGACGTGCGGCGTCTATGTGTTCTATGTCTATGGTCCCACCCCTCCTGTCCCATGGTAAGCCAAGGGAGGTGGGGAATGCACTTCAGGTTTTTTTTTTTTTTTATCCCCTAACTCAGCCCCTGCCCACCCCTCTTAAGCTCCTTTCCCTCTTCCTCAGTCCCTGTCCCTTTCCTCAGTCACTTGGGTTAGTTCCCACACTTTTTTACCCAGGACATGACCCCTGGTCCAACCTCTATTATATTTTCACTTTTTACTTTCCTGTCATTCTTGTTTTGACTATACTGACTTAACCCCTTGAAGGGTCACTTCAGTCACTTCTGCCCATTGGAGTGGTCTGGGTGCCAACTCCCACTACCCTTAACCCTGCAAGTGTAATTATTGCAGTTTTTTTTATAAACTGCAATAATTACCTTGGAGGGTTAACTCCATCTCTAGTGGCTGTCTACAAGACAGCCACCAGAGCGCACTTCCTGCTCTATAGCACAGAAAACCTATGCTAGAGCATCGCTGGACGTCCTCACGCTGTGTGAGGACCTTCAGCTTCGCTCAATGTTTTCCTATGGGGAGCTCTAATGCGCATTGGATCAGTCTCGCCCACCGGCCGACGTAATGACTGGGAAGAGCGGCGGCGAGCAGAAACCGAGGGACATCGGCGGGGTCTCAGGTAAATGACCTGAAGGGGTTTTCACCCCTTCAGCAACCAGGGATGGGGGGTGGGAGGGAGAGGGGACCTGCAGTGCCAGGAAAACGGATTGTTTTCCTGGCACTGGAGTTTCCCTTTAAGACCGCAAGGCGTTCTATGCCGTCCTTAAGGAAGCGGCTCTAAACTCCTCAGGGCGTCATAGAACGTCCCTGCAATCTTATGTACTTACCCGGTCGCCGGCGATCCCACGCCGGCGATCGCGGTATGGGGACTCACCTGGGAGCCCAGGGAGTCCCCCTCCTTCCTTTTTGGCCCCTCTGGGCCATGTGATCGCGAGGTCCTTGCGAAGACCTCACGATCACATGGACGGCATAGCCATCCAAGGCATTGCCAGCAGGGGGAGTGCCTGTAATGACAGGTACTTCCCCTGCTGCCTGGAAATAAAATTAAATAAAGTTAAAACAGTGTAAAATTAAATAATATAAACTTAGATCATTTATATATTTATTAGATCTATGTTCTAATTATATATATATATATATATATATATATATATATATATATATATAGATAGATACATGAAATCCTTGCATTCAGACTCAAAAAGATTACATACCGGGTGCTCGTAGTCCTAGGGGAAAGTCAGATATCCACATAGCAACAGGTGACCAGCACTCACGGATTCATGAAAAGGTTAAAACATCCAAAGTTTAATGAAAAATAAAAAACAAGGAAGACAGCTCAACGTTTCAGTCCTCCTCCAGGACTTTCATCAGGAACAATAATGTTGTCTCACAATATCTATGTATAAATAGGCACAGCAATTGACATAATTGGTAATTAAAAATCAGTAAAGATTTAGCATAATTAGAAACTAAATTCAAAGAATTAACATAATTATCGAATACATTCAAAAGGAGTAATCCTACCTGCCAGTGTATCATTGCAGAAACCATCGGTGTCCTCAGTACACCTCTGCGCATGCGTGCCCAAAAGCCCCTCCCATGTCAGCGTGACCGAGCGTCACCCATTGCCACGACTACCGGACACAATCCCGGCTCATCGCGGCAAAGAGCACGTCGGCTTTCACTATAGGTCAATACAGCACATAATAGCCAGATGTACTGGAACATCAGCAAATATAGTGAATAAATTAAAGGTGCATATGTTACATCATCAGAAGGCTTGTGTGTATATTCATACAGGCTCCGCCCCATGTCAGCGTGGATGCGCATCGTCAGTTGCCATGGGGACCGGAACAAATACCGGCTCACCCTGGCAACCAAAAACGCCGGAAGCAAACACGCAAAACAAATCCAGCGGATACAGAAATCAACAGTGTATCTATGTGACAATAGCGCAGTGTTGTAAATAAAGTAAAAATGTTGGATGTTTTAACCTTTTCATGAATCCGTGAGTGCTGGTCACCTGTTGCTATGTGGATATCTGATTTTCCCCTAGGACTACAAGCACCCGGTATGTAATCTTTTTGAGTCTGAGTGCAAGGATTTCATGTATCTATAGATTTGAAGAGTGTGGGGACATCACTCTACCTATGCACCAGCATACCCTGTGTGCTATATCGGTGGTAAATGCACACATGAGAAATCACTTTTTGAATTGTGGAATTGCATACCTATATGGTATACTTTATTTAGGAACCCTTTTTCCAGTGTACTTTGGTACATTTTGATATAGTGATATTATGGATGATTTTCTGTTACAAGCAGGTGCCAATGCCGAACAGGCTGACACTTTACAATTTTCTCAAGATGAGGCTAAGGCTATTTTATGGGAGCAAACAGGATTGGAATTGCCCCACAATGTGTCTCTAAAGGACATTTACTTCCAATTATTACGCCTACATAAGAAACAGATAGATTTGGACTTACATGGGCTCTTCCTCTCCGACTATTACAAAGCCAAACGGATCCCAAGAGGCTTCAGAATCCTTAATATCCCCACAATAGGTCGGGGTAAAGCAAAAGTCTGCAAAGACTGGACCTCTGTACTCAATAAAGCTTCATTAGATTTGATGCTTATTATAATCCAGGATGTCAGAACAGACATGGAGGATGTTATAAAAAAGATAGCCGAATTGGAGCTGGAACATGCTGTAGTGTTAGCAACACCTGAGGGAGTTAAGCTCCTTAATAAGTTGAAAGGTGAATTACTTACCTACAAGAATGAACTTATTAGTTTTAAAAAACAGAAATTCGAGCATGTACGGCAAGACTATCAAGATCATCGTGTCTACAGATGGCTAATGGGTGACAGCAGATGTAGACCTAGGCGGCAACATCAGAAGATTAGACGCCCACAGGTACCCACCATTGATATTACATCAGGCGATTCATCTGAGAATGAAACCCAGGGGGACTTCAGTCCTTTTTTAGAAGAACCGACAATGGGAACAACTACGAGAAGTCGGGGCAGAGGCATAGAAGGGGGAGGAGGAGAACGCAGAGGGGAAATAAAGGCAAGACCCCTGTTTCGGGGAAAACCGCCACTACGGAAATAACCCCAATCTTTAATCTGTCTCAGAGATGCTTGTCCTCACATGAGACTGAAATCCTTAATAAAGGACTCTCCTTCGTACCCACTGCTATTCCGAATCAATTTAAATGGAACACAGAATTGTTTAACTTCGGTAGACAGATGCGCCTTAAGGAATTCTTTCATCATTCTGATAAACCATTGGGTTCCTCTCCCATTCAGTTATATGAATCCCGTTTCAAGGTCAAGTCCAAATTTGACCCATATACCAATAAGGGATCAATTAAAACATATTTGTCTACTGTTGACAATCTTGAACAGGAGGTGATCAGCACTCATAGATGTAAACATAAAAACATCACAGCACGTCAATTACAAGGCATTAAGAGTTTAGCCAACAATAATTCCATCATAATTCGCCCAGCTGACAAGGGGGGCGGGATCGTGATCATGGATTATACCAATTATTCAGAAGAAATCCATCAACAATTACAAAATACTACGACGTACCAGCAGTTACCTGGTGACCCTACGGATAAGATAAAAAAGAAAGTGGAAGCCATCCTACAGAGAGGAGTAGAATCGGGCTGGATCCAACTGAGTGAATACCTCCTAAAACATCATCCCCGTACACCGGTTTTATATACAATACCGAAAATCCACAAAGACCCGGCTAAACCCCCTGGAAGACCCATTGTTTTGGCCATCGATGGCTTGCTTGAACCAATAGCTAAATGGCTTGACTCGCTATTTCAACCTCCAGTGATGGAACTTAAGACCCTCATCAAAGACACGCCTAGTTTGATTTCTGCATTAAACCATCTTGATGTCAAGAAAGGGATTACAACACTCATTACTATGGATGTGGATAGCCTCTATACCGTTATTCCCCACGAACAGGGTATAGAGGCTATGAGATCAATACTTAGTTCCTCTACATTATATAAAGGAGCGCCCATTGAATTTGCACTTGAACTACTCTCTCTTGTTCTGAACAACAATTATTTTCGTTTTGAAGAGAAATGGTACCTTCAGATCTCTGGTACATCCATGGGGGCCGCCAATGCATATATGTATATATATGAACAAGTATGGCCAATATATCCAAGGATATTTTCGTTTTATTGACGATCTGCTTTTGCTCTGGAGTGGTAGTGCCATAGAGGCTATGGATATGGTACAGGCACTTAATCAGATTGAAAGCCCTATTAATTTTACGTCTAACATCAGCTCAACAGCAGTACAATTCTTGGACCTAGAAATAGCCATTACAAATCAGGGTTTATCGTATTGTCTTTACAGGAAACCTACTGATAGGAATACCATCTTACATAGTACTAGTGCACATCCGGTGGCATTGAAGAGGTCTTTACCTAAAGCTCAATTTTTACGAATGATACGAAATAACTCGGATGTCAATATCATGGAGGAACAACTTAAAGCGATGATGGAGAGATTCCTAGTATGCGGCTACCGACGTAATGACCTAGTGAGAGCATTAGAAGAAGCTAAGATAGCCAACTCTCCTAGAGCCAAGGACGGAGCCCCAAGGTTGGTGTTCCCAGTCACTTATCATGATGCTTCCATGGAAGTTACAAGGATTATCAAGGACAATTGGAAAATATTGTCATGTGATGACACACTCCCCAAGGTATTCAAAGAACCTCCCCTTATCTGCTATCGAAGGAATAAAAATCTAAGGGACATGTTGGTACATACGGCCCCCTCGAAAAGCTACGAGAAGAACACCGAGATGCAGTTCCGGGGCAGTATACGCTGCCTCGGGTGTGTGACTTGTGGGCACATGACACCTTCACGTACTTTCCAACATCCACACAGTAATAAGATTTTTCAAATATGACATACGATCACCTGTAAGACCTCATATGTGATTTATAAATTGTCGTGTCCTTGTGGCCTCTTTTATATAGGCAAAACGGAAACCCCTCTGTGTGAAAGAATTAGGGGACACAGGTCGAGTATCAGGGTAGCCTACCGTGATGGTATCTCTGATCAACCTGTAGCCAAACATTTTCTTCTCCATCAACATCCCTTAAGTTTTTGGCCATTGACCATATCCCTCCACTTAAACGTGGTGGGGATAGAAGCAAGCTTCTCTTGAATCGTGAGACATTTTGGATTTACACATTAGGCACTATAGCCCCTAAAGGCTTTAACGAAATGATTTCATATCACTCTTTTATTTAATTCTGTGTTACTGTTGTTGTTTTCAACTATAGGTAGCATGGTATAGGTTTACATTTACTTAATAGATGTATTCACGTGATAGTTTGATTTTACTTTTATTTTGTACCATTGCAGAACTGCCTACCCCTTTAAATGGCTGTTTATCAATAACCACAATCTATTTTATTCAGTATATGATGGGATGATTTGGTCTCATGGATCATCAGCACTAACACTATATATTTTAATACAGTAGCAGAGATCATAATTTATATGTATTTGCTTATTCTCTGCTTAATGGTCACTCCGTGCACTTTATGATGTCTGGTTTTATAGTCATCGGCACTTGACACTTTTGCTTAATATGCTACATATAGAGAAATTATACTGCATACATATTTGTTTGTCATTTTGTGTATACCAGCTACTTTGCTAATTTTACACATGTTTTTTCCAGGTGTTTTTTTTTTACAATAGTTTATATTCAGATCTTATTTTATTTTTACTTTATTTACAACACTGCGCTATTGTCACATAGATACACGGTTGATTTCTGTATCCGCTGGATTTGTTTTGCGTGTTTGCTTCCGGCGTTTTTGGTTGCCAGGGTGAGCCGGTATTTGTTCCGGTCCCCATGGCAACTGACGTCGTGCATCCACGCTGACATGGGACGGAGCCTGTATGAATATACACACAAGCCTTCTGATGATGTAACATATGCTATGTGTGGATATATATATATATATATATATATATATATACACACACACACACACACACACACACACATACACTGTCTAAGTGTATTTTAATATTAATATATATATATATATATATATATATTTAAATCAAAGTACACGTACAATGATATTGACTAAATATATATAATCATCATTATATATATTTATATATAATATAAAAAATAAATATGTAAATAAGTTAAAAAATAAAATTAAAAAAATTTAAAATAAATAAAAAATATATATACATGTGTAATTTCATTCTAACTGTATTTAAAAAAAATATATATATATATTGATATCAAAATACATGTAGAACGAAATAATATATATACCTATATACATAAGTATATACCACTATATATAAATAAAAATAATATTTTAAAAATATATACACACACATACCTATATACATATATAATAATTTTACATAATTAGGTCATTTTATTAGTTACAATTTGCAGGACCTGTCTGACAACCCAGACCGAAAGTTCAAGGAATTTAATTTGCTAGCACCCTGTAACTTTCCAAGACACCATAAAACCCGTACATGGGGGTACTGTTTTACTCGGAAGACTTCGCTGAACACAAATATTAGTGTTTCAAAACAGTAAAATGTATTACGACAATGATATCGTCAGTGACAGTGAAATTTTTTGCATTTCTCACACACAAATGGCACACTGACAATATAATTGTTGTGTAACGTTTTACTGTTTTGAAACACTAATATTTGTGTTCATCGAAGTCTCCCGGGTATAACAGTAGCCCTCATGTACAGGTTTTATGGTGTTTTCAAAAGTTACAGAGTCAAATATAAGGCTTGCGTTTCAGTTTTTTCACATTGAAATTCGCCAGGTTGGTTATGTTGCCTTTGAGGCCGTACGGTAGCCCAGGAATGAAAATTACCCCCATGATGGCATACCATTTGCAATAGTAGACAACCCAAGGTGTTGCAAATGGGGTATTTTCAGTATTTTTTAGTAGCCACTTAGTCACAAACACTGGCCGAAATTGGCATTACAATTAGTTTTTTGCATTTTCAAATATTAACACTAACTTTGGCCAGTGTTTGTGACCAAGTGACTACTAAAAAAGACTGGACATACCCCATTTGTAATACCTTGGGTAGTCTACTTTTGCAAATGATATGCCATCATCGGGGTAATTCTCATTCCTGGGCTACCATACGTTCTTAAAGGCAACGTAACCAATCTGGCGAATTTCAATGTGAAAAAACTGAAAAATGTAACACGCTATATTTGACCCTGTAACTTCCCGAAACACCATAAAACCTGTACATAGGGGTTACTGTTTTACACCTGAGACATTGCTGAATACAAATATGTGTATTTTATTGCAGTAAAAGCAAACAGTATTTTGACATTCACAGTTAAAATGTCACGTAGAACTAAGAAAAAATTTTTTAAATCTTATTTTCTCCCATTTTTTAAAATATTTTATTCATATTAAATTATGTTCCATACCTAAATATTTGATGTTAAATGAAAGCCCTGTTTCCCCTGAATAAAATGATATATAATAAGCGTGGGTGCATTTAATATGAAAGAGGTGAATTACGGTTGGACAGACATATAGCGCAAATGCCAGGTTTTGTTTACGTTTTGTTTTGATCACAACTTGTACATTTGGCTGCGGTCTTAAGGGGTTAATTGTATTTGTATTATTTATCATATATTGCCACAATAAAAAAAATATTGCATTTTGTCCTCAACTTTCTGATTGTCCTGCTTGTTGAAAAAAAAAAACTATATCAATACAAATTGTGAAAAAATGAATAAAATACTTGTCATGCAATCTGCTTGACAGTGCATGCTAATATCACATCTGCCTGGCGTGTCATATTAAATAAAAATGCAGGCCTTTAAATATTGTTTGTTTTGGAAATTTGCCAAATATGTCTGTAAACTAACAGTTTTTTTAAATATTAGTAGACATGTAGTGAATTGTGATGTATTAAAAACTGAATTAGCTACTTTTTAGCCAAGTTGAATCCAATGTCTATCTTAGTTACTTTGATCTCATTTTTCTTGTGACATTTACAGACCAAAATATGATGAGTGGCAAATGTCCTTAAAGGGACATGATAATCACCAGAACCACCACAGCTTAATGTACTTGGTTCTGATATCTATAGCCTATCCCTGCAAGCTCAGCAACGTAGACACTGCCTGTTCAGAAAAAGGCAGTGTTTACATTGTTGAAAAGGTGATGTAGGGAAGCAGCGCCTTCAGTAATGTCCTCAAATCCAATTTAGTATAGGGTGATATGAAATGATAAGAAGACAATAAAGCGAAATCTATTGCAGTATTTTTTAATTGCTGATGATATGCTATGAAAACAAAAAAAGAAATACACTTGCAATTTTCTGGAGCTTAAATCCGCTCCCGATGTATTCGCTTGGACAGTATGCTCTCTGTCTATGAATATGCTGGTATAGGTCCTGGTCCTCTGTTAGGTAGCAATTACCAGTTGCTGGGGGTGTTTTCTTTCAGTGCGTTGTATTTCAGCAGCACATGTACACCAGCAGAGAAATATAAAAACAGTAAATAGTGCTCTCTATATGGATAAATGGGTAATAAAAAGGATAAAAGGAGCTATACTGACAAAAGGAGAGCAAAGTGAAGTTGTGCTCAATCTTATAAAGCTTAGGTGGTATCTTCCCCACCTAGGAAATTGAAGTATGGGATCCTCCAGGTAAAATCTTTTGAGATAAAATCAGGAAAGTCCGAATAAAGTAAAAACTAGTTTTAATAGGAAACTAAATAATAAAATCAATAATATAATGTAAAACACTAACGTGTTTCGCCCACTACTAGGCTTTCTCAAAGTGTTGATAACTAGTAGTGCTTATCATGAGAAAGCCTAAAGTAGAGAGTAAAGAAAAAGGACAGGGAGAGAATTAATGTAAACTGTTGGGGGAAAGATGTTGACAAGCAACAAATGTTGAAAAGAAGGAGATGCAGAATAACCTCCCAATGCTTTCCCATTGGGAAAGAAGGATAATCTTAGCCATGGACGCCTGGCCAGCAGTGGCGAGACCAGCACAGCGATGGAGAAAAGGTGTGTAAAATAAATTTTTCTCAATTCTGAGGGTGGCCTGGCAATAGGTAGTCGAGCATTACATGTTTGTATTCCTTTTTTTTTTTTCAATTCTTTATTTTTGCTCAATAGACACAGCGAGTTTACATAAACTTTTGGGCTTACGCAGAAGCCATCTTTAATATAAATTTTGGAAACATAATGCAGTTCAACAGATACAACATATGCCCATTCCTTAAAAAAAACGTTGGTACCTGCCGTCTACTGAGGTTTTTATATTTTTATATAATTCCTTATTCTGTTAAATTCTTTATTTTCCTTTTTGGAATTCTTAATTTTCACCATAAACGGAACAGGTGTATATTCACTTTTTTGCTTATAAGGAAGCCAATTGAATTACATAGCTTTATAAGGAAATACAATGCAACCTTATCATCGCATGCGCTTTTCACTATAAACCCTTGGGACCCGCAGTCTATTGAGGTATTTTATGTTTTAATCAAAGACAGGCAGTTAAGTAGTTCAAGTAGCCTTTATGTTTGCTTACCATTGTGGTATTTAAGCTACATTATTCCTCCGACCGTATGATCCTGCCTGAAAAAAAAAACAAAAAAAAACAAAGAGAGAGGAAGAGAGATAGAAGAAGAGATTCAATTTCTACCCACCTTCTCTCATCCGGTGTGGAGTGCCACATGGCTATCTGCGTCAATTGGGCCGCTAGATAGTAGAAATAGAGATTCCGGAGGCCTAGGCCCCCTCTATCCTTTCGTCTGTATAATATCTGTTTGGATATTCTATGTCTTTTATTCTGCCAAACAAAGTCTCCTATAGATCTTTGCAGGGGGATCAGTTGCGTCTTTGTGACTCGGAT